ATATACAGCTATGCCAGTTTATTGTAGGCCCGAACTGTTTAACCTGATAGTACCACGGAGTAAAGAAACAGCTCCATACTATGTATTGGGAACTAATTCCTCCATGGTCATTCATACTGAGGTTTTCATATGCTAATTAGCCCATTTAGTTATAAAATGCAGCTACTATTAAAATCTCCCTTGGACCATGAACCGTAAATAACATGGGCTAGTCTGATTTGTATAATTACAAATTAGTAAAGCATGCCTGATGTTGTACTGAAACATGCTTGCTGAGTGAGTGTCATATTCCATTTATAGATGCATTTTATAGTATGTGTATGATGATAATAATTATATTGATGGTACCATATTAAAAAAATGATTTTCTCTGTGACAGTAGTATACATTACATTTTATTATCATCATCTATCTTCATAACTATCAACATTCTCATCATCACCCTTATCATTATTGTCACAATAATCATCGTCATCAATATCATCGTCAACATTATTAACGTCATCATTATCAACATCATCTTCATCAGCATCATTGTTATTATCATCCATGTTTCATTACTACACACAATCTCTGTTGCACAATGTGTCAAATAACTTAACTAAGGAAAATTCTAACTGATATATCTAATTCAGCTGCTTTTGATAATAAAATATTCATTTATTTGTTCTTTTTTTGTTTGGATTTGTCTTGTTTTAGATATGAATACAAAATATATATAAACAAATATTTATACCCCCATTTTTAGATATAAAATCATTATGTTTGTTGTTGACATTAAACACTAACTTTACAAAAACATGTGAACTGTCTAAAACACACATTGAATAATTAAGTTTCCTGTTCTCTGTTTAGAGCTTTTATTAATAATGGAATTAAGACAAGTTTTCATAATCCCTCTCAACCTGTATGGTTAAGCATGTTGGCTCATGGGATTAACCCTTGTGGAAGTGGTAAACCATACCTAAGCGTTATCATGTAGGCCTAAACTTGGCTGTAGCCCTAGAGCTCAATTGCGCTTAATAGTTAGCTCGGCTCAGGACCAGCTTATTTTAAGTGTGAACAATCATATTTTAGGCCAGCTCAAATAAGACATTTTGGTTCAACTTTAAAATTGGCTCAGGTCCTGCAATGCTGACTCATCTTCATATCTGAACGTAAACCAAACATGGGTCACCAAGGTTGCCTTAGTAGCGGACAATTTTGATATCTTATATACATGTGGACAAATCCTGCTGTTGTTAAGATTGACTTGTGCCCTTTGCTGTTCATAAATTTTATAACCACCATTCACATTGTCAATACTGTATATCACTGTTGACAGTTTATAGTGTCTGAAGGAGTGTTGTTGGAAAATAGATGACAAAAAAACGTGTGACATGCCTAAATATGGTCATGATGACATCACATCATGACCATATATAGGGATACTATGAATGTGTGGGCATACAACAGTTTTTTGTTGACTAAAATTTTTATAGTTTGGACAGGGCTTAAATGTATTTTCTCATTTTAAATATTTAAACAATTATCGTCTTTCATTTATATCAATAGCAATATGTTTGTTTTTGAGGGATTGAGACACTCGGAGTGAACAATCATGGACGGTTTAGAACAGCAACAATCGCCAGAGACGTACAGTATGTACCAGACGGTTGCATGATCTGCAATATATTGGGCATTAATTACACCTTGATTATATTATAAACATCATTGTTTTATAACTGACTGTCAGCGTGGGAGGAATGTCACCAGTTATTAACTTGAGTCTTAACAGTAATTAGCTTGTATTTTTCAAGCACCCTCTATAATATGTAAAATAAATAAATAAATAAATAAAAAAATTAAAAAAAAAAAAAACAGGATATAATTTATAACACATAACTAATGGTTACTATTATGTATGAATACCAGTATGCATTATTTATTCTAATTTGCATGGTTATCATCATTACTAGCCTGGTTGTTACAATGGATTTAGGTTGTTACTTGGTTGTTACCAGTTTGAATTGTTAACATGGGTCTGGATGTTACCAGTTTACACAGTTTCCATGGTAACTTACCTGGGTGTTACCAGTTTGAATAAATACCATGGGTGTGGAAGTTACCAGTTTATGTAGTTACCATGGTTACGAGTCTGGTTGCTACCAATCTGAATGGCTGCCATTGTGCATGTTACCGGATTACTTGGTTTCAATGGTGAAGCATGGCTGTCAGCTTGCATGGTTACCAATTTAAGTACCAGTTTGCATGATTATCAAATTTCATGGTTACAAAATTGCATGGTTACTATGATAAATTGTCAGTATATTACTTTCCTTGAACTTGATTTTACACTTACTGTATCTTAAATAGAAATGGCATATACTGTTAGTTTTGATCAGTAGAGTGCTAATTTATGATTTTAAATATTGAATATAATACATTTTTTTCCATTAAATTAATACACAATAACATAATAAGAATGAAGGTCTACTTTTCAAGCATAATAAATTATCAGACATTTACAGTTCTAATTATATACATACTGTTCCATTTTTTTTTGTTTTACAAAATATAGATGGACCCCCCAGGCCGACTGCACCCCCTCCCACCCCCTGAATCCGCCACTGTATGTTTAGATAGGCCTACTGTATATTCTTTAAATAATAATAATAATAACATAGAGTTACTATACTAGAAATACAAATATGTACAAAGTAACATACAGGTAGATCGATTTGATAAAACAATTTTGATTGAACAGGATATTGATAAGTCAGGTAATGTATTACCAAGATTTTTTTTAATGACTGGCATATATTATATGGAACAGGATGTAATAAGAACAGTTCTTTAAGCTTACAAAACCTGTTCACTTTTAGGTGACCTGCTTTTCTCATGGTAATCCAAACTTGATGGGTTCCTTATATTTATTTTTCATAATTTCATAAAATTATATTGGAATGTATGATGAAAAGTGTTCTTTGTGGAGAAGGCCTCATGATTGCATCATTTCCTTTTTTTGAATATTCTTTGGTAGCCATGCCAACAGACAATTGGTGGAATCTAATGAGACAACAGTCGTTAGTAGTTGATGTTGGCTATAAATTATGATATCGTACTAAAACCTGTGGAACTTGATATGAAAGCTTTATATTTTTGTTCATTTCATTTATTTGTCTTAAAAACATTGAAGTCAGGCTCCGGAGGCTAAAAATGTTTTGATATGTTGTAGAACTGATTTTTCTAAAGCTCTATCCACACTATCAAATTTTCTTTGACAAAAAAAATTGACATGCCCATATATGGTAATGCTATGTCTATATATGGTCATGTTGTGATGTCATCATGCCTATATATGGGCATATCACACTTTTTTGTCACATAGAATTTGATAGTGTAGACAGAGCTTAAGATAGAAAAAAATTTGTTTGACGACACTGGGGAATGGTGAATAAGATACAGATTTTTTGAATATTTAAAAACTGAATCTCATTCACTGTTCCCCAGTTTTCCAAGAATAGAAACAGTAAGGAACAAGGAAGCACAAATAAATATGAGACAGGAACACTCCAAAAGCGAACTAAATCACTGTCAAGTGGGGCTCTTCACAAAACAACAAATGTTTACAATAACAAATTTTGCTTAATAATTTTGCTTAGGCCTACCACCTGTATCTATTTATCTTCCTATTTATTACTCTACTATTCAATTCATGCTCTATGTATACTTTCGCGCCTTTGATCATATATTTTGAAATTGGTGCATACAGTAATAAATGTTTGTTATTATTATGGTCAAGTTTTAAATTTTGGATGAATTTGGGTTAAAACATGTGTGTTGCTAGATCTCCCATAAGGGTAGAGCTATAATTATTAAAGTTATTATTAATTTTATTTTAGGAATGCATTTACCTTTTATGAATGACATTAGGAAACATTTAGGCCCTAAACGCTGATTATCTTAACACAGTACAGTACTAGAACCAACACCTTTGAGCATTTGCTTGTTAGCTGATTCTATAATATGCACCCACGTTACCTAACCCACGTAATTGTGGGAAAGTCTATTGTTGTTTTGATAAGGATTAACCCAATTCATAGGGCCCAGCCATGTATTATTCAAACAAGTCAAGAATGGGATGACTCATGTTCGACAATCTTCAGTATTGCATGCTCTAATACAAGGAGACACTGACAATATGATACTGTATAGTAGTTTCAGTTTTATAGACTTAACCAATGCGGTTTTTTTTATTTGATCTTAATGCCGAGAATATAAGATGAAAATGATTTTTATATTAATTGATTTGTAAGAAATGAAGAAACATGCCCATTGATCTATTCACAGCCATTCAAAAGTATAATTTTAGGATAAGAGATGATCCTATATATATACACACACGTGTGTTTGTACTATATAAAATTTTAATGATATATTTTTGTTTGATAATTATTAGATGGGAGTGGTTCTCTGACACAATGTTATAAATTTACTAAGAGACCAGGCCCTCCCATTCAGCTGTGTATTTCATTGGCAATAAAGAATAAGAATCAAGAAAGAATTACGGAACACTTGGTAAAATGCACTATTATGAAATTACTGTACTATAATTAATATTTTTGTCTTTTACTTCCTAGGTGCTCTTATGTATCTCAATGAAGCTACTCTACTCAATAATCTACGTCTACGATATGCAAAAAATGAAATCTATGTAAGCAGTTCATTCACAATTTTTTAGTTGTTCCAGGGGCTGCGAGCACCATTTGTGGTATAATAGCACTCTGTATCGGACCCTGGGCCGTTTGTGCCAGTAAAATATATGAAAATGAAATGAATTGTATTCATACAGTATATCCATAGATAATGAAACAAAACGTTGTAAAAAAATGTTCTCATTTCTATACATTTCAGACTTATGTTGCAAATATTTTGATTGCTGTAAACCCTTACAAGGACATGAAAGGACTTTATTCCACTGAAGTAATAAAAAAGTACATGGGTAAATCACTTGGTGTCTTGCCCCCACATGTTTTCGCTATTGGTGAGTAAATAATAGATTTGAATGTTCTATTTGTTGAAATTTAACCCTGACGATTTACACAGAAGGTGTGGGGAGGTTCTGCCTAGGCTCTTTGGGCACAGAAAGTTCTGCGATGGGAACAGTCTTTGCCAACAAGGGCAGTTTTACTCCGTTTGTTGAGCTTCAAAACAGTAACTTTAATATCTCCTGGTCACTTATAGCAACAGCGCATATTTTTTTCATTTTTTGCTAGAATGGATGAGCCACTGCATGGCACTGAATTGTGGAGATGCATGTTGGTCAGTAATGATTATGATGATAACTTGCGAATCTCATTTACTGTTGTATTAGTTGGATGTTGAAGTAAAATCAAAATGGTATCCATTTTGATAATTATAGTATAGTATTAGGAAGAGTAACTGTTATTTTTTATAGACTCAAATATTTGTGTTATATTTTTAGCTGATAAAGCATTTCGCGAAATGTTGGTGTTGCGTCAGAGTCAGTCTATCATTGTAAGTGGAGAGTCAGGCGCAGGAAAAACAGAATCAACCAAGTACATTTTAAGGTAATATATTTTAATCAAACAAATGATCAATCAATTAACCAATTAAAATATGTTAAATGATCAATGAATGTAAAATGAAATGAGCTATTTTATATGTTATTAAAACAGAGAATTGTAGTAGACTAGCTTTATTGACATAACACTACTATGTCATTATATCTATTTGATATGATTTATTCAATATAAATAAATAGATAAAAAAATCCAATAAATACAAAACTAAGAAAAAAGAAAACTCTGAACATTTAGTACTTTGAAAACTAGTTTTACTGTCAATAAAACTAGTCTTTAAAGTATTAAATGTCAAGAGTTTTGTTTTCTATTATATCAGACTAGTAAGACTCACCTATTTTTACAAAACTAAGAGACTCAGAGCTTGTTTGCCCTTTTAAGAATGCTTGTATTTTTTGGTGTGAATTTGTTAAACCTTTTTTCTGTTATTTTAATGTATGTAGTTTGCAAGATTTTTTTATATCTGATTTGTTTAATGCTTTTTGATGTTTTTGATGTTGAGCGTAATTTGTTATTCTTTAATTTAATAATTTTGATGCAATGAATTATTTCAATTTAACAATAATAATTAGAATAAGTATTATTATATTTACTGTAGCAATCATTTATAATTATATAATAATTATAAAAATAACAAATGACTGCTGTGGTAATTATATATAATTCTGTAGTTTTCTCTTGTTTTTTATCTAAATAATTATATGTAAATTTCCTATTTTGATGTAACATAATTCGTAATTCAGCCTTTTTGGCTGCCATGTTTTATGCTTTTAGTTAATTTTGAATACCATTATACCTGTATATATCTCGGATAATCCTCTAAAGCCTAAAATAGGATTTATTTTCAGAGGCATCCCAGTCTAGTCTTTTCAAGTATAATCTGTTGTGTTTTGATATATTAAGACAAACATATCCTTATTTTGTTTCTTTGCTAGGTATTTGACCGAGTCGCATGGTCAAAGTGCTGGCGTTATAGAACAGCAAATCCTTGCCGCTAATCCTTTACTAGAAGCTTTTGGTAACGCTAAAACCATGAGAAACAACAACAGCAGTCGATTTGGAAAGTTTATCGAAATACATTTTAGCACAAAGGTACTTATTCATTTGTTAGATCCCTGTTCCGCAACATTTTTAGCCAACGACCCAAATTAAAGGTCAAGCACTCAGATGCGATCCATCGAACCCGAAGTCAATAAATAACGTCCATTGTTTTATGCGTGAGAGGAATAGCGGGTATTAGAACATACTGCCCATGCATTTTAATAGCGCTTTCGACAATATAAACCATCTCAAGGTACATTTAAGCCACTAAAAACTTTTTTTTTAAATGGTGATCAGGCGCGAATGCGAAGAGGAGGAAGGTGCACACCTCTGATTTTGAGATGGCATCGTCATCACTACCATGTACACGCAGGTACCTCGGTGTCAGTGTGCTGAGTTCCGGCAAGGATAAGCCTTTGGCTCTAAGACCGTGCATTGTTAGCGGTGTCACCGCAAGTAAGCACAATGTGCAAATAATCAAGGAAGAGGACTTACTAATTTTGAAATATTTAAATCATCTCTTATGAATATAACATTTCAGTCAATTATTAAAACATTTACAGAAATAAGCTACAGTAATTGGAAAGTACTATATATTTAATTCCCACTATTTTTATATCTTTCTCACAATAATTACCTTTATTAAATTAATTAGCTCTCTCTGGAATTTTACTTAGCATCAAGTTGTAGGTGGCCATGTATCTCACTACCTGCTGGAGAAGCCTCGAGTTTGTTGGCAAATGTCTGGTGAGAGGAACTATCATATATTTTACTACCTCTGTGCCGCAGCATCGGACCAGTTGCGAAATGCCTTTAAGATTAAAACACCAGATGATTACCAGGTGAGAATCCAGGAGAGAATCAGATTCCTCTCAATATATAGACTCTCAGCTATAGAAAAGAAAATTAGCCCAGCACAGGACTAAACATGAATCCCTTACCCTCAGATTAAATACTGTACACTCTATCAACCAGCTAACCAGGACAAAGTATATGTGGCAAAGACAAGCCAAACCAGTCACTCATTGCAATAATCCATTTTTTGTTATTAGTACAGGGTTAAACAGTAAAATGAGAGATATAAAATCGTAAAAGAATCATTTAAAATCCAACATTTCCTTATGAAGTTACAAGTGTTTAAACATACAGCTGTTTAAAGAACAATATTTAAGAAATGCGCCTTCAAAGTTAATGATTTCATGCATTTCTTAACCAGAAACCATCACCAAATCATTGAAAATTGTTGTCTTAACATTGAAACTAACAGCATAGCATGATGTATAGATATATAAAGGTTAGTTAGTGCAATAAAATAGATTTCAAAAATTTTGACATTCCAGCATGTTTTGGTCAGTATCTCTGAAACATGTTGCGACGAGTGACTGGTTTGGCTTGTCTTTGCCACATATATTTTCTTTACCAATTGACAGACACATATTACACACGTACATCTCTGCACATTGTTAAATATGAATATTTTGTTTGCAAGCTTACCATTTTGCAATTTATTATTTTTTTTAATTTACAATCATCTACTGTATTGCTAACATGATGTAATCATTACATATTAGCAATAGAAATCAAATTGAATGTAATATGTGGCCATTTGATGTTATTAAGATATAATCTTTAGTACATATTTTAAGCAAGTTTTAATTTCTCTTTATATGTTATATGTATGTTTGATTAAATATATATTGACTGTTTAAATATAATCTAAAAATGTAATTGAAACATTAAAGCTAAATTATCAATTGTTCTTTTTTTGTTTAGTATATGAAGGAAGGGACTACGCAGTATTTTCTTTCCAAGGAGACAGAAGCCAAACTTAAAGATACGCACAAGAGTAGAATGGTATGATCTATATGATTTAAATTTTATGATGACAACATTCTTGAATTTCTACTTTTTTAATGCATGTTATAAAAATATAATATTTTTTCAAAGAACATTGTTATCGCTCATGTGTATGATCATTTGCATGTTTATCCAAGCCAGAATAAAGTAACCATTCATCATGGCTAAAATTATTCAATGTGAACATGCCTTTAGTTTTACGGGATTTGAACTCATAACCTCTTGACCTCCAAGTTACAGCTCCATTTTGTGCTAATTATTTTTTTAATAATTCTTGTCATATCTTACAAAAAAGATTGGTTTTCTGTCTTTCAGCAAAAATCAAAGGGTGGTCTGCGTGACATAGTCATGGATGATGTGACAGGCTTACGACGAGTTGAAGAAGCAATGAATAAATGTAAAATCAGTGAAAAAGAAAAAATGGACATTTTTCGCATTGTTTGTGGCGTGCTTCACCTTGGCAACATCAACTTTGAGTCTGCTGAGGGTACACAGGGTAAAGCACTGCATTCAGTTTTATTTGCAAGAACATGTGACATGCCTAAATATGGTCATAATGACATCACATCATGACCATATATGGGCACATCATGACTATATATGGTCAAGAAAAGTTGACAGTGTGGACAAAGCCTTAATTTAATGTTTGGTGGTCATAAATTTATATTGATTAAATTGATTGATTATTATAAAAATAAAGTTATTTAAATTTTAACACTATCAATTAAATATGGAATGTACAATTTATAATCATAATTGATCAAGATTGTACCTAGATCTTTATTCTTTGGCAGATGTTGTTTTAGTGTTTAGTCAGGCTTTGCATTTACGATGCTCCAAATTAAATAATTTTTAAATAAATTTAACTTCTAAATTGAATGTTTAATACATAAAAATAACTTTTGACCTAATTCAGACTGTAAAAATGTTTACAAAAAAGCACTACTTAGTGTAATGCATTTGGTTGCCTAAATCATAATTATGTAAGTTATGCATTTTCAGATGGCCTACATTCTGCTCTTAACAGTGCAGTTTTTAAAGTTGAATATGCAGTTATAAATAATAATATGAATTGATGAAATTGATGAAAATGTTTTAAATCTCTTAAAATCTGCAGGAGGTTGCTGCGTGTCCCCAAGTGCTCAAGAGGCGGTTATCATGACAGCCAAACTATTTGGACTTGAAAAGGATGAACTTTGTGAATGCTTAGTAACCAGAGTGATGCAGGCAGCAAAAGGTGGAGGAAAGGGAACAATCATCAAGTATGTTATTCAGACTAAAATATTACATGAAATGTTTATTTATTTTTCTTTTGTTACTATTAACAGTTTTTAAACATTTTTATATTCATGATTACCATATTTATTCGAAAAATTCGCCCCAAGGCATTTATTGTTGAGGGGGTGTTTATTTGAAGGAGGTATTTATTCGCTGGAGGCATTTATATTTTTTTGTGTAAAATAAATACATATATACTTAAATAAATTCCGCTTAATTTCACTAAGTGAAACTACAACACAAAATTACCATAAAAATGTGTTATTGGCTGATAATAAACACTTATTGATTCCAATCTGGGTAAAAAATGTAATTGTTCTGGAGTACAACATTAACAGAATGTGTTGAGAATGATATTGCTTCCATCAGTTTTGTTTGCAGTTATTTAGGGAGGATTTATTTTAGGGAGGGGGTTATTCAAAGCAAGGCATTCATTATTCAAATAAATACAGCATTCATCTTTTTTTTTACGATATATATTATTCTTGTTGATCAGGGTTCCTTTGAAGGCTGACCAGGCAGCAAATGCTCGTGATGCTCTTGCCAAGTACATCTACGACCGTCTCTTTTCGTACATAGTGAAGCGTGTCAACGATAGTTTTCCATTCCAGTCATCTGCTCATTTTATTGGCGTTTTAGATATTGCTGGATTTGAGTACTTCACGCTGAATAGTTTTGAACAGTTTTGTATCAATTACTGTAATGAGAAACTTCAGCAGTTCTTCAACCAGAGAGTTCTAAAGGAGGTATGTATACATTGGTTTAGAATATCAAGCAGCTTCTTCGGTTTTTTCTTAGTCTTTTTTCACATGGAGGTGTAATTTGGTTGAAAAACACATAGTGTTAAAACTGTCTCTTATACACATCTAGATGTGTATAAGAGACAGGGGTTAAACAGTAAAATATTTTTTTTGTTAATGTATTGATGATTGATGGTTATTAAAATATAAAACATCTGTTTGCAAACATTTTTTTAGGAGCAAGAATTATATGAAAAGGAGGGCTTAGGGGTAAATGCCGTTACTTATTCTGACAATCAAGATTGTATAAGTAAGCATTATATATTTACTTCACTGTCTTCAAAACAATAGCTTAAACATACATAAACATGTGCATTTGTGGACCCTCAAGGATTTTTAAACAAAATCTGTGAAGTCGACAGAAACTGGATTGTTTCAATCTTTGCCTTTATTTAAAGAACTAACTTACTAGTAACTTTGAATGCATAATTCAGTTTTTGAATTTACTGCTTTCATATTTTTATCAGAATTTATTTTACATCTTTAAAACATCTTATACAGGTTGGAATCAATGTAATGTTATTATATGAACTTTCACTGTTTCTGTTTTGTCATTTGTTTTTTAATTTAATTTTTTTTTTTGGTTTTTTTTTAAAGATTTGATTGAAAGTAAATTAGGCATTCTTGAGCTTCTTGACGAGGAGAGTAAGCTGCCTAGAGCAAGCCCTAATAATTTCACACACACAGTGCATCAGAAACACAGTTCACACTTCAGGCTAGCGGTAAGTTTCTCAACTTAATAATATCAAATTATTTAAGCTGTTAAAAACAGCATAGATATTTAAATGTATATCTTTATATTTCTTTATATACAGTATATTTGTTTTAATATTGTTTTTCAAGACTTCGCTTTTCAGGCGCATATAGACTGTCCAGTAATATGTGCAATATAATTGCACCACCATTACCTTATTGTATATTATTCTAATACATTTTTGTTGCTAATAAACAGTATTGAATTAAATTGCATACAGATTCCTAGGAAATCCAAGTTAACCGCGCATCGTAATGTACGTGATGACGAGGGATTCCTTATACGTCACTTTGCTGGTGCTGTCTGCTATCAAACGGTGAGAATGCTTAATATCTTTATTTTCAATTATCAATTTTTCATCTATTATGCTTAATGTTATTTTCTTGTACTATTGTTTGATAAGTATGTCTTATCAATCAAACTAATTATAAGATTTCAAATGATTTTGTTGCATGATATAAACATTTGGAAAAAGAGAAATCAGTGAGTTTACAGTTATTTATAAAACAGTATATTAAACTAATAAAAATTATAGTGTGTCCACACTATCAAATTTAAAGTGAAAAATAACTGAAAATAACCCATATTTGGTTGTAATGTGACATTACCATGCCCATATATGGGCACATCACACAAATCTTTCACATTCAATTTCGGAATGTGGACAGAGGTTATTAAAAGCAAATGAAAATGTTAAAAATTGTTTTCTGTTGTTTACAGTTGGAATTAATTAAATTAAAACTTTTTTTTTTTTTTTCAGGCTGAATTTATTGAAAAGAATAATGATGCCCTGCACTCATCCCTGCAAATGCTGTTGAATGAAAGCAAAGATCCATTTAGTAAACAATTGTTTCCCAAAGCAGAAAACATGGGCAAATCAATTCAGAAACTGGCCTTTGACAGTGTTGGAAATAAGTTCAAGGCTAGTAACACCTCATATAGTTCTGTGATTGATTTATGAATCACTTTATGGAATTACATTAATGTTAATTGTTAGCATAAGCTTAATCATGTGGCCTTGTTTATTGTTTAATAGTCTTAAGTATTCACTGAAGGACAGTTTATTAGCTTATAATTCAGATGATAATATTTGTCGGCCAAATTCAAACTGTGTACTGTGTTGGTTTTTATTGGGAAAAAAAACCCCTATGAAAAAATCCAACACCCATAATATTGCTAATATGACTGGCACACTACAGTGATCATTGAAAGTGATATATGTTATATATGTAGTTAAGCTGGCTAATACTTCAGAATACAGGGTTCGAATTTCCTCAAAATGCTCCATGAGCAAGAAGTTGCTGTAGGCTATGACTTTACTACAGCAATTTCTTCTACAGCAATAATCAACAGTTTTTATTGTGTTCAAGTGTAAAATCAGTTGTTAGGCCTAGCCTGGGTTAAGCAACTCGACAGCTAAAAGCTTGCTGTCGATCCTGGGATTTACCACAGCAATGGAAGGCCTTTTCTACAGCAATTGCTGTAGGTGCTGTCAGGAAATTCGAACCCTGGAATAAATGGCAGCAAACACATACAAATTAAGGATCCATTGCAATATTTAATTTGAACTATGCAATAACAGTAAAAGACGACGTTGACCAAATACACACATGCAAAATAAATGGATCTTGAAAATGACACAATAATTATGCTGCCGATAATAATTCTCATAACCCACGGAGATAGTAAGGGCAAATGTTGCCGCATCCATCTGAGAATTTTACCCAATTTAAACATCAGATCCCTTCCATGTATATGTTAAGTGTGTGAACAATAGAAGATATGGGAAAAACCCAGAGGATGATAAATTAACAAACAACCAACCTAACATTATCTAATTAACTTTAGTTTTTATATTTAAAGTCCTTTTTATATTTTTGGATATTTATTTAGGCTAACATGTTTACCTCTAGTATTTCGTCTTAAAAATAATATGCTTCAATTTGATATAGGTTCAACTTAATGTATTGATGGAAAAGCTACGTGCTACCGGATCCTCATTTGTCCGATGCATCAAACCAAACAGCAAGCTCATTGATAGCCTATTTGAGGGTACTCAAATTTTGAGTCAACTTCAGTGTGCAGGTGTGTAGTGTTTTTGGTTTGGGATTGTTGTTCTTTACTTAAAGTAATAACGCATTTGTTAAAGTCAGGCTCCGGAGAAAAACAATTTTTTGATATGTTGTAGAACTGACTTTTCTAAGACAGAAAAAAGTTGTTTGACGAAAAACTGGGGAACGGTGAATGAGATACAGATTTTTTAATATTTAAAAACTGGGTGAATAAAGTGCAAAAATGGGCAGTTACGCCCCTTTTCCCCCAGTTTTTAAATATTAAAAAATCTGTATCTCATTCACCGTTCCCCAGTTTTTCGTCAAACAAATTTTTTCTGTCTTAGAAAAATCAGTTCTACAACATATCAAATATTTTTTTCCCTCCGAAGCCTGACTTTAAAGTTAGTTCAACCTCTCTTTACCATGTGTCGTAATCAACAGTTCCCAACAATTTAAAGCCTTATTCCCGGCAAACACAAAAAGCAAATTTCAGTCTTATTTTAATTTTTTCATGTTTAGGAATGTCTAAATTCAGTTAAACTAGCAATCCCGTATTATATCTATAAATCTTTTACAACATATATAAAAATCAGATTTTGCAGGGAAAGGGGCTTTAAAGCATGATACTTCTACTTTCAGGTATGGTGTCTGTGCTCAACCTTATGCAAGGTGGTTTTCCATCCAGAGCTTCTTTCCATGATCTCTATGAAATGTACAAGAAGTACATGCCACAGAATTTGCTTCGCCTTGATCCGAGGCTGTTCTGTAAGGTAAGAACAAAATAAAAGTTAGCATTTTTAAGGTCATAAATATCTGACAGATGGATTTATGATCAATAACAAATTTGATGACATATCTAGGAACCTATAAATGTATGTATAATATAGAATGTTTGGTGGGAACATATATATTAACTCATCCTTTAAATATTTTCCACTCGTTTTTTAATATCATATCATAATAATATGGCCATTTATACCTTGCCTTCAGCTAAAGGATAAAACATGCTGTAGGTGTTGCTATTATCTGGGGCCAAATTTATCAAACTAGAATGCAATAGAATGTGTACTATTACATTCAATGTAACATCCCACCAGATACCCATTTATAGTCCTGGGTAGGTTGAGAGTAAACAGTAGTGCCTTGCCCAAGGACATAAGCAAAATTCATGGTGAGAGGGTTGGGCTGTCGACCTCAGGATTGAGAGCCCAAACAAAAAGAAAATTCTCCATCAATGATTGCAATAATATAAAGTAGTTTTTCTCTTACGTTAGGCCCTGTTCCATGCTCTAGGTCTTAGCGATCAGGATTATCGCTTTGGTGTAACCAAGGTCTTTTTCCGTTCGGGAAAATTTTACCAGTTTGATCAGATGATGAAATCTGACCCTGAGCACTTGCGTCTTCTGATAAAGAAAGTTCATCGTTGGTTAATTTGTGCTCGCTGGAGGAGAGCACAGTGGGGAACTTTAATGGTTTTAAAGTGTAAGTATATATTTTTACTTGAACCATGTTAATAGAACATAAACTAACAAACAAACTGGCTGTTCATTTTAGGCACTGGGAGTTTATAAAATACCTTCTATTCTCATTTCCCAGGTCTTCTTCCTCTTGGAATGTTTACCATATTTTTGAAGAGTGTTTTTGAGTATGTGTTTATTTTTTTTATGTTTTATTGCATGATCATAAAGACTTATTTATCCCAACCAGGTGAAAAAAAATAAATGTATTGATAGAATGTGTTGAGAATCATTTTGTTTCCACTGGTTCTGTTTGCCATCAATTAGGGGGCGTTTGTTCGAGGGAGGTGTTTATTCCAAATGAGGCTCTAGAGGGGTTGTTTATTTGGTGGGGGTTATTCAAATAAATATGGTATATCTATTCAAAGCAAATGACAAAATCATGTTAGATGTGTCCTTTTGATAGTTTAAGTCTATTTGTGTGTATAATCCTACATTGGTAATGTTACCTTGAGAATACATTTCACCTCTATTTGGAAAATATTCTCTTTTACAATTCACTAGTATTATTTACAAAATTATAAGTGTACAATATATTTACATTATATTATATAACATAAGGATCTCAAAGTTGTTTTGATCATGACAATAATTCTGTTTTTGTAGGATATGTATTAGCCTTACTAGTAGGAAGTTTGTACTAGAATTTTTAATTTTATAATGTTTTTGTTTTTTCAACAATAGTGAAGAACAAGATTTTATATCGACGCAGAGCTCTTCTGAAGATGCAAAGCACTGTTCGGATGTTTCTAGCTGTACGCCGCCATAGACCGCGGGTCAAAGCTTTGAAGCAAGTTAGAACACTTCATTCAGAGATAGTAAAGATGGAAGAATTTGGTGAGTCTTGTACAGCACTCCTAAAGCTTGCCTACAGTATCAACTTTTATGTGACAAATATCTCAAATTTGACCATATATGGGAATGATGATATCATATCACCTATACATGTGCAAAAACATGAATATTTTGTTTGATAAAACTTGATAATCTAGATAAACAATTACAGTATAATGTTTACTTTTGCTTGTGCTAACATTAAATCTTATCTATCTTTCGAACGGCAAGCAGTTTTTATTTCCCAAATTTTTAACAGAAATATTTATAAATGGGTGCTGTGTCCAATGAAGCTGATTAGTAGGGCTCTTGATGCTCTACAATTTAGATTTTTTTATAAGGCCTATTGGGTGTTGTTGATTTTAGTTTTAAGAAAAAACCAAACTTTTGCGAGGATTTCAACCCCAGGTCCTTCTGATTAGAAGGCAAGCATCTCAACCACCAAACTACAGCTGTACTCAAACCAATCAAGATCTTTTAATACATTTTTGTGTGTTACTTTTTATCTGGTTTTTATGTTGTGACTTTAAGTAACAAGTTAGTTACATAACTTTCCCTTTACTTTTCAGCTAAACACTTGAAAGATGACAAATCTACAAAGCAAGTTAAAGCCATTCGTACATCCCTTGATGATTTAATTAGGGGAATAAAGGTAAGGGCGAAATTCATGTTTAGTGTTAAATACCACTTTGGTTTTTTAAACAATATTTCCAAATTTTCTTTTTGAGTTAAACCATAGTCAAACTTAACAATGTTTCGTAGATTGACTATGTTTTTCTATGGTGTAACTATAATTATAACTAATATTATAAAAAATATATGAAATTTTATTTGTCCTCATATAAATACATACAAAGGTATTTTGGTTGTACAGCTTTTTAAATTGCAAAGTAAGCTAAGTAAATAAAGTGAAAACATTTAAAATCTAAAACGTATATTCTTTCAGTATGTTTGTATTTCCATTTTTCACAAACATTTTCTTTTCTATTTGATAGTTTTATCAGCTTTACTTAATAAGAATCTTGATGTTTTATTATAAATAATTTTGGGTTTTTTCAAGACCACTTACATGAAACGACAACAGATGGACAAGTTGTACGTAGATCTCGCAAGTAAGGTTTCCAAGCAGCTAAAGGAACTGATGTCAAAGAAAAAGGCAAAGGAAGAAGAACAGATACGTCTGCGAAAACTTCAAGAAGAAATGGAAAGAGAAAAGAAGAAACGCGAGGAGGAAGAAAAAAAGCGAAAGGCAGAAGAAGAGGCGAGAGAAAAAAAGAGAAAGGCAGAAGAGGAAGCAAAGAGAAAGTAAGTGATTGTGTATAACATGCAAATTTATTTATTAAAAGCTCAACTCGAGAACTAGTTGATTTTCTGCTAAGCCTAACCTCTTGCATATTGTTGCTAAGGCGTGGACTTTAAACAGCATAATCTTGTGCATATCCTTTGCTGTTGAATAACACAATGATAGTTTCGCCTGAAGAACATCTCATTTAATATTTTGTATACGATTCAATTTAATTTAATTCCATTCTCAAGCAATACAGATAAAACCTTCACTAACTTTGGAGAAACAAAAAATAAGCAACCCTAAAGCAACTGACCTAAACAAAAATCAACCATCATGAAATATATCTATTTAATATGAACAATTTATACTAAATATGATTATTGTTTATTAATTTAAGAAATTGTCTATAATAATAAACTATGAATATCTTTGCAGAAAAGAAGAAATGGAAAAGAGAAGAAAGGAAGAAGAAGCCATGAATCTGAAAGCTCTCCGAGAGGAGAGAAAGAAGCTGGAAGCAGAAAAGAAGAAGATAGAAGAAGAAAGGAAGATGCTAGAAGATTTGCGCAAAAAGTAAGGTTCATGCTTTTAATCTTAAGTTGCTTTTAGTATCTCATTTTTGTCTGATTAAATAAATGAAATATTTTTATTACTCTGTTAATAATGAGATTCATGCTCAAAATGAACCCTCTAATTCCAAACTCTTCATCTGTAATATCATTTGCTGTATTTTATTGAATGTACTGTGCTGAAGACTTTGAATTTCTTCCATAGACAAGAACAAGAGCGTCTTGATTTTGAAATGGCGCAGCGTCTGTCGCAGGAAAGTAACTCACAGGTCGCTGCAACTGAAGAGATTGCGCAGGTCAGGTAAGTGAACATTTCTACGATTGCGTAATGCATGGTTTTTAAAAATCCATTCACCTTAATTGTAATGAAATATATATCCATAGTTACAATATGATATACTGCTATTTAAGTTATTAAACAAATAATGACTAAAAAAAAACAACTGAATCCTCTCTGAGCTTAAAGAGCTGATGCTTATCCCAGTTTCTGTAGTATGAAGCGGATGAGAGTTGTACTTCCCCTGGACGGGACACAAGTCCATCGCAGGTTAGTCTCCAGCAGTTTGCTGGTACCCATTGATACAGCTGGGTAGACTGAAGCAATGTAGCTAAAGTGCCTTGCCCCAACCTTACTATTGAAACCGCTCAACTGCTGCACCAAACTGCCGCTATAAACAAATGATGGAAACTGTCTATTCCCTTAGCATTGCTTGCTAGACACCTTGGGAGCATTCATTATTTTTGTGTAAAATGGATACTAGTGTATGGTTAAACTCAACACATTGTTTTATTATCTTTCTCATCCAGAGAGGTGGTGGCTACTGCAATACCTGCTCAAACCCCGCTTGTACAAAGGGCTGATAAAACCTACGATCTATCAAAATGGAAGTATGCAGAGTTGCGAGATACAATTAACACTTGCAATGGTAAGCTCCATTAATCTTTCATGTATCTTCAACTCATTTCTTGAAATTTTTGAAAAAAAAAATTGGAACCATACCAACCACAGTGAGGATTTCTTAAGAGGAGAATTTTGTATGTTAGTCAGAGGTCCAGGAGGACGTTGTGGTGGCATTGGGCTGTGGTCCAGAGCAGTGGGATGAGGGAGAAAAGACCCTCGGATGTAAATGTTTAAATGGTAAATTTATTCTCATTTTGATGGATTTTACTGCAAGGAGAGAAGGGTTGGAAAGGGTTCACTCCTACAAGCAGTGGCGCCAAGAGGCTAGGGTAACCGGGGCAAGTGCCCCGGGATAACTAGATATAAAATGATAAAATAAAATAAATAAATAAAAAGTATTAAATGTATACATTCAACCAGTATCGTTCATGTGTTTTTCCCACGAGAATTCTAAATAAAGCTGACCGTTTATCGATGAAAGCTCTTAATTAATAGTTTTTTCATGAATATTTGCATGACTTCTAGTACTCTAGAGTTTATGTTTGCAATGTATCAATTTGTTAGGTTATTAATTAATAATTATCAAAGGCTTGGACTCCGGACATCTTCACTATACATACAAGGTAGAAAATATGAATAGACCTGATAGAGATTCAATTGTCAAATAAATCCTGAATTAATATTTTTAACCAATGGTGGATACAAGGGGTGACCCGGCCCCCACCCCTATTATTTTTCTTTCAAAATTAAACAAAAATTGAGAAAAACAGAAAATTTTAATCAAATGTCTAAGAGTGCCAATTTCGGCCATCTATCCCGCTGGGGCCTACCAATGGGCCTTAATGGACCCAAGTAGCAAAGCTGCCCCGGGGCCCTTAGTAATTCTCGGAGGTTTGGACACATTTAACAAAATGTTACAAAATTCGAACATGTGAAATGTTGCCATTTTGCAAATGACCTTCAAGATTAATGCTAGATATTGTGTGTGTGGAGATAAACAATTCTAAAATTTGTCTTTTAATGTGTGGAAGACAACAAATTACATATATAACCATAAAGAAAATAGAATGATATAACATCCCTTAGATTAGTATTTGCATGAACTTGCCTCAACTGAACTGCGATTCATGGACTTACATTTTGATTAATTAGACCTCATTAGTAACTGGAATGTGTCTCCATTATCTTGTCATTGAGCTGCCAACTACTGATTGTTAACAAGTAATTAACTAACACAGTTCTTTTTTCATCGGTTATCACCAACAAAAAAATTGTGTAATCAAGTGAATGGCATTGCTACAAAGAGCCCTCATGAGAACTAATATAAATTTGAATATTGGATTCAACAAATACTAATTCTTGGATCAATCAGGAATATGTCAGGTATAGAGGTTTCCAGTTAAGTAATGGTTCTGTCATATGACCAAATAATGATGAGATTACATTGTAATATAATATATGATAATTAAGTAGTTTGGCTTTCAGGTTTATTTTCTTTCTCTATGGGTAAATGCAACTAGCTTGAGTTACTTCCCAGGAGGAGTGCTTGTTTGCATTTTTAGTACAGATGCAGCCCCAAATATTGTAAGGAAAGGGTTGTGTTTTCTTACAGGGAACATGTGCATAGGCCAATCATTGTGGACTATGTCTTGAATACTAGTTGCCAATGTTCCTATGACAAAAAATAGAACCATCCGACATGGTGACGTAAAGTGCGGCTGTCCCGTGGCGAATCAACGTAACTGACATTTTTGTCGATTTTGAGATAATATTATTTGGGAGTATATTAAACACGTCTGAATTACCTATGAAACTTTCAGGTCTCAATAATGAGTCCTTTTGGAGATAGGACCACCTGTCTTTAAGCACAAAACTTAAAATCTAGTGATTTTCCGTGGCAAAACATCGTAGCTACAAGATTACGCGGCAAAACAATGTATCTGCGCTGAAGATACGTGGTTTTACCACGGAATGGTATTCAATAATGGTCTTGAGCCGATGGAGTTTGGCAAGGCAAAATCAAATGGTTACTGGTGTTTTTATATCAATAATTTTAAACAGCGATGTATGAACAGGCTAGGTAATGCATATGATTGCCCCAAACGTGATACTGTAAATTCCAAAAATGTGTTGCACTTGCAACAATACCGAGCCTGACATATGTCCATGGCAAAACAACGTATGTGTAATTTAGTCCAGTCCGAAATGTAGCAATATCAGATGTTGCATTTTTTTTTGCTATATTTTTTAAAAATTGGATATGATGTAGAGTAGACATTGATAAATCAAAAAAGTATGTGCAACATTTTTTTTTTTCATACGTAAGGGGGCCAGCAGTTTCAAAATGGCCACCATTTTTCCTAAAATTGTTACTAATACTGTAAGTTTATGTCATTAAAATGCAGTATTCAATTGGAAATTCACTCATAACAATGACAACAACTGTTAACTAAATATTGTACACATTTTTGAGCTATTACAATTTAAAATGGCTGCCATTTTCCCTTATTTTAGCTTTTTAGCATACATATTAATATAATAATAACCGATCTGTACTGTAAAACGAAAACGTGTGATACAGCTAGTTATATGCAATTGCCATATGCTGTTAATGGTTATTACGATAATATATATGTGATATATATATATATATATATATACATATTCTTATTCTTATTCTTTTTATTGCACAATAGAATAATCGGGATGGGAGGGCCTGGTCTCTAAAGTAAACTTAATTACTATAACAATTGTTTGAGAACCACTCCCATCCAGAATAAAAAAAAACCAAAAAAAACATCATTAAAATGTAAGATAAAATATAATAGACAACACATCACAACATCAAGCAAAAAGCAAGCAAAAAATAAAAAAAGAATAAATAAATAAATAAATAACAGAATAAATGCAAAAACAGTCATTAAAAGCAAAAAACAAGGTCATCACAATCACCATTTAAGTACAGTAATAACAATAATAATTATAATTATTCTACAAAACCTATTGTTATTATTACCATCATTACCAAAGAATTTAAAAAAAAGTGTATAACGCTAAAATGTATTTCTATAAGCAGCAATTATGCTCTTCATAAAGTTTATGCAATTGAGGTAAATCTGTAAAAAGAAAATAATATAAAAAATAAGATTTATAGTGCAGTAGAACACAAACATGCATAATTCTTTTCAAAAGACAATTTGATTATCTTATCAAATCTATTTTTTGAAAAAATAGATATTATATCTTTAATTACACAAAATGGTACCGGAGTTCCCTGCATTCTATTTTTTCATGTAAATATCAGGATGCTGTGTCTATTAAATGTGAAACCACATATATACATACATATATATATATATATAAATGTATATATATATATATAGCTCAAAAATGTGTACAATATTTATACACATATATATATATATATACACACACATATATATATATATATTTATATATGTATATATATATATATCACATATATATTATGGTAATAACCATTAACAGCATATGGCAATTGCATATAACTAGCTGTATCACACGTTTTCGTTTTACAGTACAGATCGGTTATTATTATATTAATATGTATGCTAAAAAGCTAAAATAATGGAAAATGGCAGCCATTTTAAATTGTAATAGCTCAAAAATGTGTACAATATTTAGTTCACTGTTGCTGTCATTGTTATGAGTGGATTTCCAATTGAATACTGCATTTTAATGACATAAATTTATAATATTAGTGACAATTTTAGGAAAAAAATTAGAAAAAAAACATTTTGAAACAGCTGGCAATCCCCCTTACATATGAAAAAAAAATGTTGCACATACTTTTTTGATTTATCTATGTCTACTCATATCCAATTTTTTTTAAATATAGCAAAAAAAATGCAACCAACCAAAGTTTCCTGGACTAATTATCGTTAATAACTTTGCAATAAACAAATGGTTGTAAATAAAATTTTTAATCTAATCACAATGTCTATAGATATACAATCCCTCAAAATTTCAAAAGACTGCGACAATTTATTGCAAAGTTACGAACATGCAAACTTTAACTCAATTTTTCTCCAAAAGTGAAAATTTCAAGTTGCGTTGTTTTGCCACAGAACGGCCGTGTGTAATGTATTTTTTTTATTTACCAATATATCTATAAAACATCTGAAATAGCATATTTAATGATTTATTTATATTCACTATAGTGTACCAGTCCTACTAATATACTTTTATAAAAAGACAAATTTGTATCCACTTAAAAAGTTCACCCCCAAGGATTTTATTATTTTTATGCTAATCACATTAATAATATGATAGAAAATTACAGTTCTTTAATTAAAAGTAATCTGTTCAGATTTTGTAATGGGTCCAAAGCATTGATGAGAATGACTCTCTAAGTATGTTTTTTATTTTTAGAACTATAATGAGATTGATCCACAATAACCTTAATGAACTTAGAAATTACACAGGGTAAAATGGAATTAATCCTTTCCGACTGAGTTACATATTATCATACCAATGATATTCCTCCCACTGATTAGTAAGCCATCATAATAATCATTAATTAAAAAACATATCCACAAAAGAGAATCATTTTTTTTCTTTGGAATTAGGACTTAACAATTTATAGCACTTACCGTTTCCATTAATGTTTAATGTTTTTGCATATAGCTTTAGGTTATAGATACCCCAGTTACATTAACATTCACTCTGCAGCTTTGTCTTTATCTAATTATTTTAAATCACTAACCATATTAATCATCAAGATATGTTCAATCTTGTTATGCAGAGAAGGAAGAGATAAGCAAAATATCAAATAAATGTTTAGTTCAAATTTGAAAGTAGTACACAGGTCTCCCTCCACTTAAAGACCACTTCTGAGATCTGGATTTCCATGGTTTTTAGCAACTTTGGTCTCTAATTAGAATGATAAAGATAAAAGAAATTTGTGAATTTGGGACCACAGAAAAGTAGTCTTTAATTGGATGTTGCCTTTAATTGGAAGGGTCTTTGATTAAAGGGAGACCTGTATTTATAATTTTGGAAAGATCATTATGTTGAACAGTGCTAATTAAGTGTTCTTGATGTTGATATACATGTGTCTTTTACTGTAGACTTTAGTAAGGTATACATACACAACTTACAACACTGTTACTCATGCCTGTAACATTTCATCATTACGATAATAAATTGGGCATAAAGTCAGAAATACTATTACTATAATTAGCATTGAAAAAACTAAATGTTTCTGTGAAATCAAAATTATAAATGGTTGCTCATCTAGGTCAAAGTTGCTTCTGCATATTTGTTTTCTTCTTTGTTTTTCAGTGTCATTTCTTCCCACACAAATTTCTTCTTTTTACCAGTAATTTATTCAAAACAACTTGCTTTTTCAGCTAAATTGTTCAAGTTGAAGTTCAAGTTTATTAAAATCAAATTCGCAACCTCCAAAAGAAGTTGAATTGCATTGATCAGTACAATAGTTAAAATACATTAAAATATAAATATATAAAATACATGAGAAAAATATACATACAGATTGAAATAGAATAAAATTACAAGAGGTTACAAATTCAAAAGTTACAATTTCAAAATTACAAACACACAATAAGCAATTATGGAAAGCAATTACAAAATATAGTAAAAATATCAAATTTAAAAATCAAAAGGGCCCAGGTATATTGTCATAGAAATATATCAATATTACAATTTTATAATAAGCATTAAAAATCCAAAACATATATAGTTAAAAATAGGTCAGTATATCTCCACAATGTCACACATAAATTGCTGTTGGTTAGACTGGCTTAGTTGTGCTTAATGTACGGTAAACTAGCATTTGAAATACTGAAAAATGTAATACTGATCATCATATTGATACGTCATAACTGCTCGTTACCAGAACTAAACATTTTTCAAAGTTCTTTTTTCCAATAGCTGTAAAACTTCTGTCATCTGAATTTTTTTATCCTCTAAAAAATAGTGTGCATTTCCTTCTGCCATAAATTTAACTTATTTCACTTTTTAAAACTATATACTTTATTCTTTATTTTTGTAGCCCATAGCCCATATACCTAGATTGGTTTGATGTTTTAAATGTTGTGATTTATTAAAAAACTATATATATTGGATGTTTGGATATAGGTTTATCTTAGAAATTACTTTTTATCTAATGATTTTAAAATTTATAGATGTGGATCTGTTGAGTGCGTGCCGTGAAGAGTTTCATCGTCGTTTGAAAGTTTATCAGAAGTGGAAGTCGAAGAACAAGAAAAACACAGCGGAGGAAGCACCAGCTGTGCGTGCTCCTGAAGTCGTTCAAAATGGTAATTCCGTAATTAAGTAGTTTTATCAGATTTTTTAACATCTATATTATCACAAAAAAGTACTCTTTTTATAAGTATCATGACTCCCAGCAGTTGATATAAGGGCCAAAGTACTTCATGAAACTGGCCCTCAAACACATGTTAATCAGCAGGATATGGATCCATTAATTGTAAGGCTAGGCTAGCTTAGGCAATTCCTACAGTATATACACTTTACTGACAAAATGATGCCAACACTTGGAGTTGTAAAAACCTTTTGATAAAAAAATACTTGCTTTTCCACAAGTAGATAAGATAATAATTATGTTTTTCATTTAACCGTTTCGTTAACTTGATGCGGAGTAGTCAAAAGTTATAAATCTTCAGTTACAAAAACAAATCTATCATTGTGCAGCTTTTTTTGTTAGCCATTAGCGCACTCAAAGAAAATATGAATGTCTAGTTTTTTTGCTTGTTGTTTGTAACTATAACATGTTTTTTTTTCTGTAATTTTAAATATTTTATTGCTAAAATCACAAGATATTCCATAACATATGTGAATGCTATACCACATGTTTAGAGGACAGAATAGAAAAGATATTGGTATTCAACTAGAGCATTCTCTAAATATTCTTTACTTAGTGCTAGCAATGATACTTTGCCTTTTGAATTATCATTTATATTCAGTTTTCTAAGAAACGGTTTTCTGGAAATTAGATGTAACAGAGGGAATATAATTTTGATATAGAGTAGAGCTATAAATGACTTTGTGAATTGCAGAAAGCATATTGGATTTTTATTCCAATGATTATAATAATAATAGACACATGTTTTGAATCCAGTAGAAGTTTGATTTCTTTTTTATAAATGCCAAATGTAAACTCATTCTCTTCTTTGGTGATTCTGCAGTGTATATTTTCATTTTCATTCATCATACATTTAAAATATGTAATAATTTTGAGGGATGTTATTAAATAATGTCTTGATTAATTATTCTTTATAGCTTCTCCACCACCGCCACTGCCGCAGAAGAAAAAGGCGGGGCAGAAAATGGAGCAACGTTATTTCCGTGTTCCTTTCATGCGACCGAGTGATAAGTCCGGGGATCCATCCCTAAGGAAAAAAGGAATGTGGTATGCACATTTTGATGGGCAGTACATTGCTAGACAAATGGAATTACATCCTGATAAAGTTCCAGTTCTCCTTGTTGCAGGTTAGTTTATAAATTAACTATAAATGTATTAACATATAAGATGCATTATCAAGGATATCCGAAAGATCTCCAAGATAAGCTCCCTGCCCCACTTAATAGACATCGGGCCACAAGAAAGTCTTTTAATCCCTGCTTATCCACTCATTATACCTCAAGCAAGAATAGTGCAAACTTTTGACAGAAGCTTTTTTACCTTCATATCTATCCGAAATGAAACAACCTGATGCTGTCGTAGGCACAATATCTTATGTCATTTTTAATGACATTATTTTGCAATTGTATTTATATAGTATTTTCGTATTACTGTATTTTAATGTTTATAATGCCAAATAAAATTAAATTAAATGAAACAACATGCCAGGTTTCAAGAAAAAAATTAATTCCCTTAGACATAATTCATGATATGCAGCAGTTTAGTTTTTTTCTTTATTCTATCTGATGCGCCATGGTCCAGAAGGTAGGCCCATTAGGGTTCTATTGAACTTTTCTATGTCAGTCATTCAATATTGTTGAATGTCGAATATTGGCTTTTGTCTACTTGTGCAGCATATTTAAAAAAACATTCCACTATAAAATGTTGAAAAATAATAGACACACTTACAAGTTCAATTAAAACAAAGATGAGAGAGAGAAATGTAAAAAAAAAAGGAGATGACTTCAGTCGTTACCTTATAATTTTCCTTTCCAGTTGAGAAAACAAATTCGCACATTTTGATTAGCCTACCGGTATATGTATTCAAAAGTAATTTATTTGATATCTTGCTACCAGCTATTAATCATTTGGGAATACTGAATATGAGCTTTATTTGAATGCAATTAATTAAATTGCATAAAACTAAGTAAATGCCGCATCAGAAATGGTGAAGAACATTCTAAAACATGAAAAATGAAACATATTTATGAGATAAAACAGAAGTTATGAGCACAAGCAGTGAGGCAGACAACATTTTACTTAATGAAACATACATATAATATAGTAGTCAAAGAAAAATAAACATTCAAATAATTTTTACAAAAAAATATACAAAGATATTTAAGAAATGTTGAATTTAATATGTGATCCAGGGACATAGGCTGGTTTCAGACTGGAGGGGTGCAAAAAATGATAATTCACAACTAAATATGCTGAAATAAATCCCTATTCCATTGAAAACTTAGTAGCCATTTTTAATATTTTAACCCACTTAGTGGAACTAATTCCAGCCTACGCCCATGTGATTTATAATGGGATTAGGTTGATGCAATTCAGTCAATTATTCACCTTAAATTATGGAGTTGCACTTGTGGCATTTGCTTATGCCCTTTGCCCACAGTTAACATAGTTGGGTGGTTTTCTACCTCTGGGGGCGGGGAAGTCTAACTAACTAATCAGTAATTTGAATACTTCATTCTTTCAGGTAAAGATGACTTGCAGATGTGTGAACTAAGTTTACTGGAGACTGGTTTGACCAATAAAAAGAATGCTGAAATTTTAGAGCGGGATTTTGAATACGAGTGGGATAAACATGGCGGCACAAACTACTTATTGACTGCAATAAACAACAAACAAGCCAGGCAAACCGTATTCTACATACATATATATAATTTATATAAGATAATGAATATTCTACTGTCCTAGAAAGCAAGGAAATGTGTTTCGCAAATTGAAACCTTTTAAAGTATAGTTTTAGGATAAATTATTGAGAGGGTCTGTGTACATCCTGTAGACTGTGTTACGCACTCAATAGTCTTTCATATTTAGTGTTTATGGAATACCTTACAGATTGAATTAGCATATCGTACAGAATGTTAAATTTCATCATTATTGAATATTTCTCCAGAGTCATAGATTCCTCAAAACTTGTAATCTTAATCTACTGGTTCATAATGAAAATATGCTGAAATTTTATGAAAATTTATATTTTATGCAAAATATTAATCCAAAACATCATTAGCATAGCTATTGCAATGTTATGTATATAGTTATACTGCCTCTACATACGGTACTCAATTACGTATCGACTCAAGTTAAGAGCATTCCAGTAACTGGTCATCTTGACCTGGGTCAAATTTTTTGCTTGATTAGCTAATATTTAATTTCACAACGATGAAATAACATTCCTTCAGGTTAAATCTAGTTATTCTAACTTAAATTAATTGTCTTTCATAAACATTGACCAAAACCAATATTTACAACTACATATTTCTATAAAAAGATTTAATTAGTCAAAGAGTTTGTATAATTTGTCTTTGAATGAATGACCCTTCGTAAGGGATTTAATATGTCATGTTGCATCGTAAATATAGTGCCTTAGTTAGACATTAATTGATAGCAATATATTCCAAATAATGTTTGCAATTAACCATCAGCTAATCATAGCTTCTATGAAGTATGGCTCTGAAAACTCTCAATAATCATGTGCAGAAAAAGGAGAAATATATTTCCCATATAGCAGTAGAAATCAAATGTGGAATTTGAGCAGAATTATTAGAAAAATAATTATAATGTAAAATAATAATATATTGTATCAAATGCACTGTTTAGTAGCATTTTAATGTTGTTAATTAATGTTGTAAACAACTTTGATAACTTTCATCAAAACAATTATCTGTTTAAGTTAGTGGTGATGGACAATGTTTAGAGTTTTTTTTAACAAATTTAATTAAGTTGAAAAATACAATGAAATTGAAATTAATTAATTAATACTTATGGGGGCTTTAAAAAACACCTATCTAGATATACATAGGCACAACACAGTATACAGTCAGAATGCAGAATATTGAACATAATTCATAATACTGAACAACGATGCTTTGATGGAATTTTGTTAAAAAAAATAAGCAATTAAAGAATGTCTCCATAGTGAAATTGAAATTGCAGTTGTTTTACTAAGAATGCGGTATCAGCATAAGTACATAGACATGCCAGAGTAGGTCAATTTTTTTGGCTATATCTTCTAGTGCTTGTAATTCAACAAACATTTACTCTGTGTTTTACAGAACCACGTACTCCACCCTTTGACCCAGTGACCAAGTCTTTTAAGATAATATTACAAGGGTGCATGTTTAGAAAGTGTTAAGTAATGGTCCCTGGGACATTGTTAATCATTTCTTAAAGCTATCTCTGACCCTAAGGCCTTTTGGTAAGCCGCTACTTATAATGAAATATGCATAATATTAATTATTTATTTATGCTTAATATTAATTGATTGATCTGGTGGAAATGTTGAGCTAAATATATTTTTGCTTCAATTTATAATACATTGTATTATGTTTTGATATCTTTCTATCTCAATTTTTTTTTCATAGCATTTGTGAAGTGTATGCTATAAAAACCTACATATATATATTTATCAGTTCTCATCCATTTTTGCTTTGATCAATTGTATCAACAACTAAATCAACATTCCATATTTCAATTTTCTTGATATTGAAGAAGTATTATAGTGTTTAACACATTAAGTGTAAAGCAATTAGGCATGTTTTAACTGTGGTGCATCTGACAAGAATATTGGTACAAGTCGGTTATACTCAGTAACCTTAAGTAATTTGATAAGATACTACGCAGTTACATCAATATCAGGCATCTAATCAATGCATTCCCAATTAAACTTTGTAATCGGTTCAAAGAAAGACGCCAACAGAAATAATATGCTGTGGGCGAAGCCTTTTTTGTCTAGCAGTTATTGTTGGAATTATTTCATACACTGCCTACAGAATTGTTTCTGTCATTTTCTTGTTGAACTTTTCTACAATTATGCAGAAGCCTAAGTATGAAAGAATCATGTCTTTGTATTTTAGACTATAATTTTAGAACATGTGGTTGATTGTTAGTGATAGTGGAAGCACATAAATGAAGTATCTGTCAAACATTATCTTTTATTCATATTTGTCTCCATCGTATTATTGAAGTAATTTATGCATCGTTTCTTTTCAGTCTCCTAATGTGATGTTCACTGAGAATATTCTGTCTACCTACTTAGAGGCAGAATAATAAAAGCAGTGCAGTTCCAGTGGTGTTCAAGGGGTGGGGGGCAGCTGCCCTCTGGTGGTGGGGTAGAGTGGAATTTTTTCCCTCGTCGGATATTGCTTGACCCCCTGTCGTCAACGCCATGACAAGGTCGTCAAAAATTTTTTAAAAAATAATAATTTGCCATTATTTTGATTGCCAATACCTAAGCCATAAAAACTCTCCCTGTTAACCTAAACAGATTTTTTTTTGGACCCTGACCAAGGCTCTAGTCGGCCCCTTCATTCGGACCCCCTCATCGGACATGTCGGACCCCATGTCGGCAAATTCCTGGAGCCACCACTACAGCCAGCCCATAATCGCTAAATTTTTAAAAATAACAAAAAATAATGAAGAAACTAAGAAAATTGTATTCAAACTGAGTATGAGAGTGCCATTTCTGGCCATCTAGATTTGCCAAAATATATAATTTCCAAAAATAATGGCTTTTAATGTTGTTACCAGTAAGGAAAGACTTCTTTTATGCCTTGTTTAGCGAACATGCCACCCGCTGATAGTGATGATTTCAAATAAAAATAAAATTTTATTTTTGGGCAATTAGCACACCCACCTTCACGAAGAAACAGAAATTGTTTTCTTAATTTTTATTACCGCTGCCTTGAAATCTCAAATTTAAGTCTGATATTGCCATTTTTGGCCATCTAGATTTGCCAAAATCATAACATTTCCAAAAAACATGGTGAAGGGGCGGGGTGGGGGGAGTTTGAGGTGGGTGGGCCCTTTATCTGTGAAAGTCCCTACCTGGGTCCACCACAGTGTTCACAAA